CAGTTGCCCTCTATACCTCAGCCTTTTGCCTTTTATCTCCTGTGTCATTGTTAGAGCCAGAGGGCAAAGGGCAGGGGCGGAGCACAGGCTGGCTAGGCCTGGTAGGGCAGAGGAGATGCTGAGAATCTGTCCTGTCAGCTCTTTTTCCGTGTGGGGAGGCAGCCACCGCCAAGGAACCGAGCTTTCTGAGAATATCCAACCCTGCTCCTGTCCAAAGCTGGCCTGCCCTGGAGGCACAGCCCACCCCCCGCAGCAGGCTCTCTGATCTCTTGGGTGGAAGGAAGGCAAAAGAAGCTCAAAGAGCTCAAAAGATCACCTCCTACGCGGCCTTGCCTGCAGCCCCCTCAGCCCAGCCTGGCGCTGTCATCCTCCATCACTCTCTTGCAGGCACCCCTGTGCCCCGATTCAAACGGTACTCAGGAAAGGTAAGGGGACCAAGCTAGTCTTGAAAGGAGAACGGGCCCTGGAGAGCCGAGCAGTGAGGCATTTGTTTGTTCTCCAAACTACAAGAGGCCCCCAAAGGCACTTGGGCGCCCTGGCGCCTCCAAGGAATTATAAAGAGCGAGTGTGAAAGTGTCCCCAGTGCTAGATCAATTAGGAGCGCCTCAGCAATCAAGCCTTCCTTTACACCAGCTTTTCCCCAGCTTTCACTGCACCTTCTACGTAGAATCTCATTAAACCCTCTCCAATCTCTAGGGGAAAAAAAGGCAAGCAAGCCCTTGAGGAAAAAAAGGACACGAATAGCCACATTCAAGCCGACTGCCGAGAGCAAATGAGTGGGGGGGGGGAGATAGAGATGTTATGCTTAAAACATCTGGGAAGTGGTATCAGTCCTGTAAAAGCAAGGCTGGCTGGGGGGGCCTTTCCATTGGCCTTGCCCAGCTGTCTTCCTCCCACTCAGAACGAAATGTTCTGTCTTTCTGTGGTTATAACCTCTTTTCACTTGGAATGACTTGCCCACGTCTGGACCTCGCTCCGGGCTGCCGCTCAGTGAGGCTCGCACGCAAGCGCGGATTACCCAGGGAGCCCCGGGGGAAGGGCTCCGCCCCGCGCCCGCCCACTTTCTGCCCCGCCCTCACTCCTCGCTCCTCCGTCCCCTGGGGGGGGCGGGGCGCCGCCGTGGGCTCTCGGGCGGCTTCCCAGTCCCCGTAGACCGGCCGCGCACGCCTCTGCTCACCCTCCCCTGTGAGCACATGTCTTCCCACGCGCTGCTGCCCGGGGAAGCGGGGAGCGGGCGGGCATGTGGGCTGCCATGCGGCCGCCAGACAAGGGCGTGGCGGGGAGGCCGGCCCTGGCGGCGGCGGCGGCGGCGGCGGCGGCGGCGGCGGCGGCGGCCGGGCAGCCCTGCCTGGGCTCCCGGGGAGTCCCGGCTTGCTTACCGGAGGCCCCTGGGAGGATCGGAGTTCTTTAGATTTTCCAAAAGCCTCCGACAAATGCCCTCACCCCAGCTCGCCCCGGGAAACAGAACCACAGTCACTGGCCAGGGACCTGGGGAGGGGCGGGGGGAGGAAAGTTTGGGCTCCAGAAACCCAGAACTCCGGTGGGATTAAGGCGGGAGGGGGCGTGGCGCAGGGCCAGGCCGACCGGGCCGGGGCTGGGAAGCCAAGCTTGGGTGGTGGGAGGGGAGAGGGTGGTTGGAGCCGAGCCGGGGTCAGATGCCTCGGGCGCACCCAGGCGCAGGTAACCGGAAAGGGGAAAGTGGCCAGGATGTAAGACAGTTGGTTCTCAGGTTTGGCTGCAAAGTAGAATCACCTGGGCAGCTTCAGAAATCCTAATGCCCAGGGCCTCATCCCAGATTCCTGTTATCAGAATCGGGGGGGGGGGGGCGGGTGAGGGTGGGATCCAGGCATGGGTAGTTTTAAAAACTCCCCAGGTGGTTCCAGTGTGCAGCAGAGGTTGCGAACCAGCGGTTGCACGGGTGGCACAGAGCTGGTCCCAGGACCAGCAAGCATGGCACGAACCCGGGTGCTTGTTAGAAATGTAGAATCTTCAGTCCCACCTCAGCCCTAGGGAATCATCATCTGCATTTTTAAAGGAACAGCTTTCTTAAGGTATAATTCACAGACCACGGAATTTACCCTTGTGAAGCATACAGTTCAGTGGTTTTTACAGTTTTGTGCAACTACCGCCTCTAAATACCTGGTTTCATTTTCATTACCCCCAAAAGAAACCCCATGCCCATTAGCAGTATGAGTCCGCATTCCCACCTCCCTCCAGCCATGGGCAACCACTACTTTCTGTCTCCCTGGATTTGCCCATTCTGGATATTAGCATCTGCCTTGGAACAGATTTCTTCAGCACGTGACAGTTTGAGGAGCACCAGTGTGAGAGACCTCCTAAGAGAAGCAGCCTTCGCTTCCCTCCCACACTTGTCGTCATGCGGACATGTGGGTCCAGAGTTGCTAGATTTTTCTGATTTTTTCAAGAAACGCCAAGAACTCTGGATTTTTATGTGAAATCTTCCACTTTTAAAAAAGGTTGGCAACTAATTCAGAATTTTGGAAAACACTGTTGGGGCCAAACAAATCCTGCCTAACAGCCTGTCAGCTGCCACTTTTGCCACTTCTGATGGTCACCAGGTTCTTACCCACCGCCACCCAAATCCTTCCTACTCCAGCCACAGTCCATTTCTCCTTGTTCCAGTTTCCATGGAACAACCATTTAGTAGCCTCCTCATAAAATCTTCTCACATACTATTCTTCCCTTTCTCCAAACTGACAACTACGCATTTATTGAGGACCTACTATGTATTTGGTACTTTACACATTCTGGAATCATTTAAGTCTTCACAACATTGTCTTTTTTTTAAAGCAGGCTCCACGCCCAGCGCATAGCCCAATGTGGGGCTCGAACTCACGACCCTGAGATCAAGACCGGAGCTGAGATCAAGAGTTGGCCGCCTAACTGACTAAGCCACCCAGGTGTCCCCTGCACGACAGTCTTTATGGCAGATATTATTATCCCGGTTTTAAAGACCAGGAAACTGGAGCTCAGAGAGGTTACGTAGGTTTCCTGATGCTGCACCGTCACTCAGGGTCCAGCGGCTGGACGTTTGTACCTGAGCCCTGTCTACCTCCTCGTGCTGCTTCTGCTTTCCCGATATTGGCCCCAATTTTTCATCTCTTTCTTCCTCTTCTAAACCTTCTCCATTCACCCCCGATTCTGGACACAGCTCTCTGAGGACGATTAGATTAAAGAGAGCACAGTCTCAGTGAGCCTAGGACCTCAGTCTGCTGGGGAGAGTCTCAGTTGCAAATACTCAGGCTTGTTTCCTCACAAGTACACTCATTCTTGTCAAATTTGTGCCCTGATCTTTGGTTTGGAAAATGTGGCCGACATAAGTGAGCCATGCTCTATTTTGAGGCTGATTCATATTCAACTTGTGGTCAACTCCCTCCTTCGCTTGGTGTTTTTCTTGTTTATTTGTGTTGAGCTAAATTATGTTGTTAGGTTTTGTCACTAACAACCCCCTTGCACTTGTTGCTGCTGAATTTCCTCCTGGTTTCACAGGACCTTCTTCCCCCGACCTGTCCGACTGGAAGTCCTCCCCCCTCTCCAGCCGGCTGTGGGTTTGGCCCTCTCCCAATCTTTCATTTTCAAGTCACTTCAGGCTTCAGGGAACCATCTCCATCTTCCCCACATGTCCCATCGGCGTCGCTCCCTCCACTGCTCTGGAAATCCTAGGTAGGCCTCCTGGGGGGTGGTGCACACAGGTGGGGGGAGGCAGAATCCATCCCCCAAAATTGGTGGGGGGTGGGGAGGAGGAGCGTTTGGCTGTGGCCGGGAACGTCCCCTCATGGTGGCCTTGGGCCAGAAGCTCTATCCTGTGCCAGCTCCAGACCTAATCTGGCACCAGGAGGGGGGGTCAGGGGTCCGTGGACCTCTCTTCAGATCAGAGAGATCCTCAGTCCTGGGAACCCCTCTGGTCAGTCCTGACCCCTTGGGACATCCCATTGTCTTGAGTGCGGTGGAACCCCAGGCCGGTTGCTAGGCACGGGGTGCACTCAAACAATGTAGTGTGACAGTTTCCCCAGCCCGCCCCAGGGGCCTCCCCAGGCCACAAGGGTGTGGTTTGCAGTCTGGGTACATTCTGTACCCTCAATCCGGGGGCGGGTTTGTGGTTCCTGGTGCTGCAAAGCACGGCCCCGCCCAAGCTTTTCCTCTCCAGCTACAAAAACAAAGCTTCCACACCAAGAGGGGAGGAATAGAAACAGAGGCTGGTACTGTATAGCTTGTCCCCGAAGACTCCAAGACTCCGGGGCGGACCTGCCCCCTTCCCCTTCCCTGAAGGCCTCCCACTCGTGGAAGGCCAACAGTGGCACCGGCTCTCTAACACTCGTTCTTCGTTCTTCGCTTCCCTTCCCATACGCCTCACTGAATGGCTGCCTGAGCCACTGAACAACCGCCTGGGGAGCGGGGGGGGGGGGGTGTTGCAGGACAGAACTCTCTGGGGACTGGCTGCCACTGTCTTCCCTAGAGACCCCAAACCGTGGCTTTCCGTTCTCTGGCAGGGCTCCGTGGCTCCACGTTCTTCTGACTGTCCAGGGTCCCCGGGCTTTGGTATTAACGTTATCATCATCATCATCATTATTATTACTACAATTATTATTAGCTAGCCCCACTCACAGGCCCATGGGGTCCTGCGTGCTTTCAACCTTCTCTGTGTAATCAATCATCACAGCCCCTTTGGGGAGAGATTAGGAGCCGATACCTCTTTCACACTCACTCTGAGCCGGCACTGTTGCAAGCACTGGGCACATCTCGTCTAATCCCCGCGACACTTGTAAGATAGTCCCCGTGCTATTGTTAATCACGTTGTAAAGACAAGGGAACGGCGGCCCAGAGAGGTCCAATACCGTGCCCAGGGGTAGAATGGGGGGAACCCAACCCTGATCCTTTCGCTGGCCTGAGCTGCCTCCTCCCCCCCCCCCCCCCCCCCCCGCCCAGGACAATTCTGAGGACGGGACAAGTAGCGCCTCTGACAAGTCTCTCCACTGGAGAACCAACTAGCTCGGGCCTCAGAGGGGAGGGAGTGTTCCCTGGAGAAGCTGGGAGAGGAGGGTGTGACCTTTGCTCAGTTGTAGGGATTCCCCAGGACTCCCTGCGAGTCCGACCACACCCAGCTGCCGCCTCTGCTGGCACCGTCCGCTCTGGAGTGGCCTAGGTGAGTGAGTGAGTGAGTGAGTGAGCGAGCGAGTGCGCGCGCGCAGGCGCGCCCCCGCAGAGGGGAGTGGGGGGTGGGGCGGGGCTGGCGGGGGAGGGGGAGGAGGTGACTGGAGAAACTCACCATCCCAGAGCTCTCTGGCTCCCTCTTCAGGCAACGCGCACTCACTGCCGCTCCTCTCCTAGGGACCAGTTTCTGCCGTCCGAAGCTCTCTGTTCAGGGGTCTCAAAACCCACCACCCTTCCCTGTGGGCTGCAAGCTCTGTAGACCAGGCTGCTGCTGAGTCTGTTTTCATTTCATTCTCTCTCTCTTTTTTTTTTTTACCATTTTAACCGTTTTTAAGTGTACAGTTCAGTGGCGGGAAGTCCATACACATTTGCTGTGCCACCATTGGCACTGTCCATCTCTAGAACTTTTCCATCATCCCAAACTGAGACTCTGTACCCAGTGAACAGGGACTCCCCATTCCTTCCTGCCGTCAGCCCCTGGTAAGCACTATGCCACTTTCTGTCTCCAGGAATTTGACTCTTCTCCATACCTCACATAAATGGAATCTTACACTATTTGTCCTTTTGTGTCTGGCTTCTTTGACTCAGCGTAATGTCGTCATGACGAAGTTCATCCATGTTGTGGCATGTGTCAGAATTCCATTCTTTTTAAAAAATTTATTTTTATTTTTTTATTTAAATTCAATTAGCCAACATATTACAGCGTTAGTTTTTGGTGTAGTGTTGAGCGATTCATTAGTTGCGTATAACATCCAGTGCTCATCACATCACGTGCCGTCCTTAATGCCCATCACCCAGTTACCCCATCCCTCTACCAACTTCCCTTTCCGTAACCCTCAGTTTGTTTCCCGGAGTCAAGAGTCTCTTGTGGATCGTCTCCCTCTCTGTTTTCTTCTCAGAATTCCATTCTTTTTTAAGGCTGAGTGAAACTCCACTGGATGTGTACACCACATTTTGTCTATCCATTCATCCTTTGAGAGACATTTGGATTTCCACCTTTTTGGCCATTGTGAATAATGCGGCGAATATGGGTGTACAAGAATCTGTCTCAGTGCACGGGTCAGCACCTCTAGGAAGAGTTCCTCACTTGCCCCCACTCTGTTGCCAACGGTCCCCAGCACCAACTCTGGTGAACCTCTCTGGGCTTCACTGTCTATTTCTGCCCTGTGTAGTTATGGTCATATTCTCTCTCCTTGAGGGTGTTGTGTGAGTCTCTGGCTACCATCTTTGTCAGCTCCCCGAGGAGCGGGACCACAGCTCAATTGCCTTTGTACAACCAATGGGGGACAGTGTTGTGCAGTGGTTAAAGGCATGGGCCCTGAAACAAGACTGAATCCTGGCTTGCTCCTGTGTAACCTCAGGCAAGCTACTTGGACTCACTGTGCCTCAGTTTCTCCATCTGCGAAACGAGAGCAGTGATAGTAGTATCCATCTCAAGAGATTATGAGGAACTAAATGATACCATATACAGGGGGCACGCCTGGGTGGCTCAGTCAGTTAACCATCTGACTCTTGATTTCGGCTCAGGTCATGATTTCAGAGTCTTGGGATCGAGCCCCACATTGGGCTCCACGCTCAGTGCAGAGTCTGCTTGTCACTCTCCCTCTGCTCTCCCCCCACCCGTGTTCTTTCTCTTTCTCTCAAATAAATAAATAAAATCCTTTAAAAGATAAATGATACCATATACAGAAAATCATCAGTACAATCCCTGGTACACAGTAAATGCTAAATAAATAGGAGCTGTTATTTTTAAGTCCCCTTTCTCCCCCTCACAACCTTTTTGTAAACAAAACGAAACAAAACAAAACATCAAGGAGCTTAGTGGGAGCCACCTCAGTCTGTTTTCCAGGGAGGGTTTGTGTTGAATTTATAGACTTCCCTCTCCACCATCCCCCACCCCTTTCCCTGTGTTGATAGTCTGCTCAGGCTGGCGCCCCTCCACTGGTGTGAAATGCTTCTGTGAAGTTAGTGTAAACAATACGGAGACTATAGAAATTGTTCTCTTCACTCCTGCAGCCCAGCACATTGTAGCCATTGTGTGCTGGATAACTTGGAGGTCCTGTGGGGCTCCCACTCAGGCCAGATATGACTCAGGAAAGCCGCCAACTGCAGCTGGCTTTCAGAAACCTCTTTCCCCCCTCCGGAACCTGGGACAGAGGGGACACATTGTTTATGGCTTCCAGGCTAGGAGAGAAGAAATTAAGCCACCAGGCTCAGTTTATTTCATGCTTATCAGTAAAGATAGCCCTATCTAGTTAGTCCTGTTGCTTAAAGCGACATATTAATAGGGTCTATTAATAGAGTCCAAACCATCACTTGAGTCTACCCAGCCATTCTCCAAACATTGATTGGGCACCTGTTACAAACCAGGCACTGTGGCATCCAGAGATAAGCAGAGTAAGATCCCTGCCCTTGAGGCACCCAGGCCAAGAGCAAGCAACTCTTGGAGTGCTCTGAGTTTGAAGAAGGCCCCCCTAGGACCTCCTGGAGGAGTCAAGCCAGACTTCACAGAGACAGTGCTGACTTTTGCGTTGCCTCTTAACAAGTATGTTTGTCAGACTGAGAGGCATGGCAGGGAGGCGAGCACATTCCCCCAGGGGACAAGACATCTGGGCATCAAGGGCCGAAACTGCTGCGGGTGCCCATGGACATGCTGCCAGCGGGCCATGGCTGAAGCACAGAGACCAAGGCGGGGCGGTCAGACCTGAGACGGGCAGGGGAGCAGGGCCCAGAGCACGGAGAGGTACTGTCTTATTGTTGGTGTTGTGTCTGTGTTGTAAGAGGGTGGGCTTTATCCTGCAGGTTTTCCAACTGTGGTTCCTGGAGTACTAAAGTCCCACTGAGGACGCCAGGTGGCCAGAGCTGTTGGAGCTCCGTCCTCTCCGGCTAGGAGTCGCTCCACACTGACTTGTGTTAAAAAGTTTGGTTTGTTGGTTTGTGAGTTTCAAAAATGATTTTTAAAGCGCCACTTATTTATTTATTTAAAAGAATTTTTTTTTTTTTTTAGAGAGTGAGGGAGGAGGGAGGAGCAGAGGGAGAGAGAGCATCTTAAACAGGCTCTGCACCCAACGTGGAGCCTAATGCACGGCTTGACATCACAACCCCGAGATCATGACCTGAGCCAAAATTAAGAGTGGGACACTTAACCGACTGAGCCCCCCAGGGGCCTTAAAGTACCACTGTTTAAAAAAAAAATACTGGGCCTGGGTGGCTCGGTTGGTTGGGCGGCTGCCTTCAGCTCAGGTCATGATCCTGGAGTCCTGGGATCGAGTCCCGCATCGGGTTCCCTGCTTGGCAGGGAGTCTGCTTCTCCCTCTGACCCTCCCCTCTCTCATGTGCTCTCCCTTTCAAATAAATAAATAAAATCTTTAAAAAACAAATACCACCTACACACAAGTTTGAAAACTATTGCTGTGGACAGTGGGCAAATATCAAAAGATTTGAAGTAGGGGAGTTGATATATTTGATTTATCATATATTTGTGTATTTGATATACCATATATATATCACCTATATAAACCCTGAACACTCCAATATTTCGAGATCACAAAGATGAGAAGGACCGTGCAAAGCAGACTGAGAAGGAGCACCCTGTGAGGTAGGAAAAACCAAGAAAGTGTGGAGGAGTCCCAAAGAAGTTGTGAGACAGAGTTTCTTTTCTTTTCTTTTCTTTTCTTTGCTTTTCTTTTCTTTTCTTTTCTTTTCTTTTCTTTTCTTTTCTTTTCTTTTCTTTTCTTTATTTATTTGACAGAGAGAGAGATAGCGAGAGCAGGAACACAAGCAGGGAGAGTGAGAGAAGGAGAAGCAGGCTTCCCATGGAGCAGGGAGCCTGATGCGGGGCTCGATCCCAGGACCCTGGGATCATGACCTGAGCCAAAGGCAGATGCTTAATGACTGAGCCACCCAGGTGCCCCGTGAGATAGAGTTTCAAGGAGTGAGTGATCAAGGCGACAACTGGTGTTGAGAGGCCTAGTAGGTCAAGAACAGACAATTGACCACTGGAGTTGGTAGCTTGGAGGGAACCAGGGACCTTGACAAGTACAATTTTGGTGAGTTGCTGGTGGGCCTCACGGCTGGCTGGGCCGGGGGCCACCATCTCCCAATAACACGCCATTAGCGGCTAAGACTGGGCCTTGCAGCCAGCCAGGCCAAGGGCCAGTGCTGCCCACTGGGGCACTTAAAGCAGTCACAGCCCCGCCACCAAAGGATAGTGGATACAGCCCACAGAGGGGACACCCCTGCAGCAGCTACCTCTGGTGGTCAGGGGAGTATTGTGCTTTTGGGTCTCAAAAGGACATCTCCTACCTCTAAGGCTACCCCCTTCAAGACTATGAGCCCGCGCTGAACTACCTAATACATAGAAACAGGCACAGAGAGAGTTAGACAAAATGAGAAGACAGCTGAGTATGTTCCAAATGAAATAACAAGACAAAACTTCAGGAAGCGAACTAAACGAAACAGAAATAAGCAATCTACCTGACTGAGAGTTCAAAGTAATGATCATAAAGATGATTACTGAACTCAGGAGAAGAATGGGTGAACACAGTGAGGATTTCAACCAAGAAAGTAGTGATCAGAGCTAAAGAATACAATGACAGAAATGAAAAAAATACACTAGAGGGAATAAATAGCAGATCAGATGATACAGATGAATGGATCAGCAATCTGGAAGACAGGTAGAGATCACCCAAACTGAACAGCAAACAGAAAAAAGAAGGTTTACATGACATTAGTTTAAGGGACCTCTGGGACAACGTCAAGCTTATTAGCGATCACATTGTAAGGGTCCCAGAAGGAGAAGAGACAGAGAAAGTGTGCAGAAAACTGATTTGAAGAAGTAACTCCTGAAAACTTCCCTAACCTGGAGAAGAAAACATACATCTAGGTCCAGAAATCACGGAGAGTCCCAAACAAGACAAACCCAAAGAGATCCATACAAAAACATATTATAATTAAAATGTCAAAAATTAAAAATAAAGAGAGAATCTTAAA